ATATGCCCCTACAGAGGGTGTATAGGGGTTTTGATTGATTTACGGGGTGGAAGGACCTTAAACCGACCCCTCTGAACCGAATTTGAAAAAAAAAAAACTAAAAAATGCTACTGATACTGCCCCCAATACGCCTCTACCAGCATATCAGGCGTATCAATATTTTTAACCTTGGTTGGATCCAAGTCCTCCATCCTGGTAGGAATCAATAATTACCCCACAAAGAGAGATAGATTATGTATATACTTACAGCAGTTGATACTTGCTAATCAAATGTAATGATCTGATCAATGTGTAGACGTGGTTCTGGTTGTATACATAGAAAAAGAGGAATTATAGAAAGTGGTCAAATAGAGAAGAGGATCATCATCATCATCATCATCATCTAAGCCTTGTTCCAAGTATATGGGGTCAGCTACATGAATCCTCTTTTGGCATTGGTGGTCATATCCATCATTAATTTAATTATAGGGGAGCTTAAAGCATTTCTTATTACTAACTCTTCTAAACCCTTGAAATTGTAATAAATCAGTTTTTCTAATTGTAATAAATCAGTTGTAAAGAAACAGAAAAAAAATCTTTCAAAATGGTAAAATGGTGATAGAAAACCATTGATTAGGCTCATCAACAGAAAAGTTAGGAGCCCACGAATCTATCTATTTTGTTCTTAGTGCAATATGAAAGTAGTCCATTAACGATTGATATACCAAGTGCTCATTTAAAATGGAGAAAAGCATAGGGTCCTATTGAAAGCATAAATTTATCTGAAACGAAGGCACTTGATGAAGACTTTTTCCAATTGGCCTTTTGTAAATGTTCAGTGTGTGGACATACCTGATACCTTTTTAAATGGGGAAGTTTGTTCATGCAAAGAGGCCCTAATAAACTAATGGCAGACTTTATATGGTACTTGGTTGTCAAGCATGTTTGATATTGTTATTGTTATGTAATTAAACCTTCCTTCATTATCACATTCAGGAAATTAATTCATATATAACATTTATGCAAACTTGAAGATGGAAAATATGCTTTCAGATTTTTAAAGACCTCCTTTATTCTTTTAATTGTATTTATTTATAAGAGGAGGAGGATCTTTTATAAGGACAAGGCTTATACATCCTTCCCTCCCTTTGCAAGTGTTTTTATTCTCTTCATTATTTAATTAATTAAATAAAATTCACGGTGGCCATTCCTCCATCACGGTGTAAATTTTTGGATTAATGAAAAGACATAAATGTATACCTCTATTATATAACACCAATGCTTTGATGTATTTATTTATTATTAGGCGAATAGTTCTACACCACAAAACCTTCAATCCTTCATGATGAAGGTCCGATTTGATACTTTAAAAGTTTGGGGTTTTTATGATTCAGTCTCTTCCTAGCTCCACCTAGGGGTGGACTGAATCCTCCCCATGAATTGATGCTAAATTCACGGGCAGGATGCGATTTATAGGGGGGGGGGGGGCATTACTAATAGACTATGGAAGGTTGTAATTCAGAATTCTACAATAAGCTTATATATCCTGCACTTTTTTTGCTATGCAGCCTGTCCTGCATAAAAGTGCCCCATGCATTATATGTGTGTAATACCCCATGCATACAATAGAGAAGACCATAGTCACCATACATAATACATGGAAACTAAGGGAGACCTGTAGTCACAGACTGATAGGAAGTGCAGGATAAGTGCACCACAAAAAAGGCGTGCATCAGCAGATATGGACTCTCATTTTTTATCTTATATGTTCTTCATCACTGACATGTTTTCAAGGTAAACTCGAATCTTACACGCACCTAGATGTGATAGAAGTTATATACAATCTTTGGCCTGTAACATTACTATTCAACATAAAATTAATTTAATATTCCCTCTCTTATCCAGATGAGTTCTTTTTTGAAGCAGCCATTATCGTCCAAATAGTCAATGCATGCTGGGCCAATGACGATGCATCACGCCAGCATCATAGATATAGCTAAGGGTCTTGTGTCCTACTCACAGTCCTGGCGTGAGTGAATCCATCAGCATTCTATGTATGCATCGCGCATGCTGGAGCAGAAGCTTTGGTTCTTTGTGTCGAGAGCTTTCTGCACATCATAAGCTACTATGGATGTAGGCTAAAAGGAGGAGTGGGATAACGATTCAAAGAAAACTCCCAATAACAAGTAACAACCAACTTAGGTTCTCTATAGACTGGTCATATGTGGGATTTTAGCATAGGTTGGTTTGATCAGACTGTATCAAGATTTAAAATAATCGATATGATATATTTAATGCTAAGCGTATTATATCGATACACCTATATTTATATTTACAGGTATTTTCACCCTCTACCGATACATATATAGACATGTATACAGACTAGTTTTTCAATGTTAATAAATTCATTAACGGGCTCTTTAAAATACAAGGGTATTTTATAGTTAATGTACTATGAGCTAAATTCTTACACAAAGTAAATCAAAATGACACCAGCCCCACCCCACAAAAAATAAAAAAAAAAGTACAGGGAAAAAAGTGAAGTGTACAAATTACAAAAGGATGCACGCAGGGCCCACTGTCTACCACAACACAGAGAGCTATCTCTTTCCATGAATTTGAACTTGCCTCCTTAATGGGAGGAATGCCAACTAACCACTTATACACTATAAGATCATTTCATGGTACTGGTTGACTGGCTTGCATCTGCATACAGGTCCGGATTTAAGCCTAAATTTAACATGTAAACACTGCTTTTCTTTTTCACATTTGAAATAAACAAGAAATTATCATCATTGTCATCATTTAGGCTATGTTTGGTTTGAAGGAAAAAGTAAGGAAAAGAAAGGAAAGGTAGGGAAATCTGTACAAGTTTTCATTTGTGAACGTTTTCCTAATTTTCCTTTCCTTTCCCTACTTTTTCCTTGAAACCAAACATAGCTTAAAGCTTTATCTCAACTATATGTGGCTGACAACATGAATCTTGTTTCATCATTCCATCTGTTTAGTTTCACATCTATTGTTAAGTTGCACTCAAAATCATTTTTAACTAATTCAACCCATGACTTTTTGGTCTACTCCTAACCTTTCTAGCCCCTTCAACTTGCAACAGATCAATTCTTCTTACATGTATTGTTGGTACTCTTCTAGGTTTTTTGAATGACTTCGTTTCTCATATTGTCCTTTTTAACACAATGAATAAATAATAAATATTAATACAAATATCAATTATTCAAACACAAACATCAAATTCCTTGGTAATTTTCCAATATTATAAATGAATAGAAAACAACAAACTAAAAATAATTCATTATAATTGTGTGTTTAATTTGCTTTTTAATTTAGATAAAAATCCAATTTCTTTAATACAACTTCAAAAAGAAAAAAACATAAAAAACCAAACCAACATGTTGATCCTCTAACTTCAAGTTTAAATTCCAATCAACCACTAAATTCAACTTTAACCAACAACAAAAAGCACAATCCCAATGAGGGTTTCTCAATTGAAAATGAAGCAACATATTTTGCTTTTTAGTTTAGATAAAAGGTTTTTGTTATGTGCCTTCAGAGAACTCATCCCTAAAAGCTAACTGTTAGAGAGAGGAACCCAAACACATAGATACCAGATACCCCACAATAGCATCCCATACTACCGATGCGGGATACCTCACATTAGCATTCCATACTACCAACATCGGTCAAATGGATCGATCGTAACAGTTTTTAAGCCGAATGAGAGTGTAAAGATGAAGAGACAGGCTCATATTTTGCTTTTTAGTTTAAATAAAAAGTTTTAATTGAAAGTGAAGCAATGTATTTTGCAATAAGAGGCAGAACCATGAGCCTTCAAGTCGAATAGTTTATTGGTTGAATTTGAGCTTGAAAAACTAATTGAACTTACCCGGAAGTTCGAAATTGATTAGCACTAAAGTAAAAAATTGAGTCAAATTGAATTCGAGTCCGAAATATTCAATTAAAGCTTGATTCAATTAGCTTTAAACCTTGCATTCTTCGAAACAATTCTATTGCACAAAAGCACATCTCCATTTGAGAGGGAATAGCTATTAACGCTTCAAAACAGCTGAACCAACTTCTATATTTATATTTATTTATTTTCAGATCTTTATCTTCTTGAAATCATCCCATAAGCGGAACAACATAGAAAAAGAGAGATGAAATATCAAAGACACCTCTTAAAGCATTATATTTACAAATAAATGTTTTATATTTACTTAGAGAGGCCATTGCTTGATGAAATGGAGAAATCATGGACTGACCAATGAGAACATGGGTTAATTAGTCCAATATAGCTGGGATCAACGTTGGGGAATGGCCTTCTTTTCTTTTTTCTATAATTGATTGGAATTTTATGCCTTCACAAAGAAGATAAAAAATATTGTCATTTGATCAGACAGCAAGGGAGAGAGAAAGTACATCACATCAATGTTGTTTCGTAATCGTAGGTTTCCAAATTTGCAATTCAGTGGTCCATTCTTGGAAAGTTAATTGTCTTAGGCTCTTAGCTTAAACTATTGAAAGGATAAGAAAACAAACTTGTAACTATTAGAATACCAAAGTACATTTTGTATTATTGTAAATCAAACACCTGTTTGGAAACTAGGCCCGTTTGGGAGGGCTTTCATGAAGTATTGCAACTTGCAAGGTATGCCCCACATAGGAAGTCATGAAATTATATTTATTTGATGAAAAACCTGGAAAGACCAATTAATGCAATCCTCCCAAACACGCAATTAACTTATGGTGTATGGGCAATAACCCAATATTACCTTCAAGACCCCATTCGCTTTTTGGTGGTAAGTTATCTGGGTAAGTTTTTCTTGAAAACACTTATCTGGTAAGTGCACTTATCCATATTCTTTTATTTCTTATGTAACTAAGGTAATGACTATTTTAGCCATAAAAATCTATTATTAAAAGGAGTATTTTTGTCTCATTCAAGTGTTGGCAACTTTCCGCCTAGGGGGACGTTCTATTTCTGAATTTTGAGGGGGGGAAAGTTGGTCAATGGAATCAAAATCCCATTGACCAAAAATCACATGTTCTTTTTTTAGATTTATGTGGGGACCAGGAAAAGTTTATTTTCCTGGGTATCACTTACCCTCCTAGGTGGGTAAATAACTTTCTCACATTGGGAGAAAGTTGCCAACACTTGAAAGGGACAAAAATACCCTTTATAATAATGGATTTTTATAGATAAAATGGTCATTGCCTTATTTACATGGGAAATAAAAGAACATGGGTAAATGCACTTACTTGGTTAAATCTTTCCTGGGAAACAATTACCTGGGTAAGTAACTTACCGAAATGCGAATAGGGCCTAGGTGGAAAAGTTATTTATCCATATAGTAGATGGGTATCACTTACCTTGATACATAGGAAAATAAACTTTCCTTAGTCTCCACATAAATATGAAAAAAGAACATGGAATTTTTGGTCAATAGGAACCAAAATCCTATTGGCCAACTTTCCCCCCTCTCAAAATCCCAAAAGAGAACACCCCCCAAGGTTTATCTACAACTCCAATTATAACATGACTTTGGTAGCTCATAGCTGCAAAAGACCCGATAAATGGTCGAATATATGTTGTGCCATGACTTGTGCTCCAGCCTCCAGACGGTCAAGGTGAATCCATTTCTTACTTTTGTTAATTATGGAAATACAACGGACTGGATTTTAGAAATAAAATAGAACAGTGTTATATTTTACATCCCAATTCCCAAATCAATTAAGGGTATCAATGGATTAGGTTTGGATTGGACCCTGTTCAAATCAAAATTAATTTGAGCCAATTGGACGGATCAATAAAATATATTGAATTTAGACCAGCCCATACCTAATAATGGTCCAATGTTCAAAGTATTTATTGGATTTGAATTGGATTGACTCAGATTAAACCAATATCTGGTCCATTGACATAAGATAAGAATATGGGTGCCAATGGATCAGGTTTTTGTTGGACCCAATCTAAATTAAATCTAATTCGAACCGTTTGGACAGTCCACAGCCGCATGATATTATTTATATATTTAACTATATATATGCATGTTTTATATCATATCATATTGTATAATGAATATAAATATTATAAACTGATACAAATATTATATCTTATGGAATTAATATAAAGTTTTATATTATACAAAGCTTAATTAAGATTTAAGCCCAAAGCGCGAAACGGCCCATACAGACACAAGCTATAGCCCTTATTATAGGCATATAACCTAATTAGTATCCTAAATAAAGATAAAAAACTAATGAGAATTGATGCATGCAGCTCAAGTGGGCCTTACTCATTTGGACCATAGGTCCAAACTTATATTCATTTGACCACCCAAACTTACTGAAGTTTGCCGCACCAAGAATGACGTAGACATAACTAGGTTGAACACCTCAATATCATCTCTATCAGAAATTGCTTTTGGATCCATCATCATCTATATCATAAACTGATGCCACGTGGCAACCCCTGAGACCGGGCATTTTTCAAATAAGCATCTGACTATTTGAGCAGTACTCACTTGTTATTTGTACGAAAGAAAGATGAGCTACTGACAATTTGACATGGATCCCAATTACTTGTCGACAACAACATACAAATTATACGACATACAAACATGTCCTGTCAGTGATATCAATTCTACGAAAGCACTACAGCTGTAAATATCATAGTGTCTGGTTTATTGGTAAGAGGGGCACCATGATGAAACCTCTCCACCATACCCTAACTTGAGACTGAAGAGTTGAGTGCTCCATATATATAACCGTGAACCGCCGGCAGATATATAATTTTCAAACTTTGTTTTCATTGTTACGTATTCATGTTGTACACAAGTAGATGCATAACATACAAAACTACATGCTATAGTTTCCTTTTGCAACCTCTCTGCTTTGGAGCTTTGCAGGAGGGGTTTGTCCACTGCCCAATGCTCATACATGATAAATCCCCAGATCATGGAATTCCAAATTAAGGTACAGAAGGTAGGAGCTTTTCTGAATATTAGATCATACTACCACATTCTAAATACATATTCATGAGAACAGCTTGAACAGATGGTTCCCTCTCCAGTCCAGTCGTAATTGAGAAGCCATGGATCTCTTTTGCAATCCCCAGCATTCCCAAGTTGGCACAAGCTGTTGAGGCAGCTATAAGAGAAATTGGGTCAGGTTGGACACCTGCCTGAAGCATTTGGGTCCACACTTCTAGTGCTAAATCTGCATTGCCGCACTTTATGTAGCCCAACATAATCGATGTCCAACTAACTACATCCGGACTTAAGTTAGTTGATCTCATTTCATGGAAAAGCTTGTAAGCCTCATGCATCTGCCCACATTTAGCTAAACCCGAAATCATTCCATTCCATAATACCAAGTTTGTTTTGGCGGTCACAGCAAAAAGCTTCTGTGCAGAATCCAAAGCATTTGACTTGATATACATCTCAAGGAGAGCACTGGTTACGTACTTGTCCTGAGTTTTCCTTCTTATAATCCATCCATGTATGGATTTTCCAATTCGAAGAGCTCCCAGAAGAGCACAAGCACGAAGAATGCAGGAAATTGTAATTGGATCCACCTCGAACTCACGGATTCTCATAAAGCGAAAAGCCTGTAGTGCCTTGACCCCTTTGCCATTTTTGACATGTGTAGAGATCAGTGTGTTCCATGAGCAGGAGTCCTGCTTGCATCTTGCGAACTCTGTTTGACCTAAGAGCTCCACTGCATCACTAAGTTGCCCTGCCTTTGCATAGCCCTTTAAGAGGCTGTTCCAAGAAAAAGAGTCGGGCAGAAGGCCAAACGACTGCATAAGGTCTACTATGCCCAACGCTCCATTCATATCACCTTCTTCGACATAGCAGTTGATCATCAGATTCCATGAAACCAAGTCCAGCTTCAAGGGTTCTGCTTGCAGCTGTTGTAGTAGTTCCTTTGCTTCCTTAATGTCTCCATTCTTAATGTATCCAGAAATTAAAGAGTTCCATGAGACAATGTCATTCTTTGATAGGAGGGGTTTAGCACAGTCTAGCCTCCCACATTTAGCATACATGTTTACTAGAGAAGTACTTAGAAAAGTTCCATTTGAAAACCCATTTCTGATCATATGACCATGGATTTCTCTGCCTTGTCTGATAGCTTGCAGGCCAGAACATGCCTTCAGACTTAGAGAATACATGAATTTGTCTAAAACCAAACCAGAACTTTGTATCTCTGAAAACAAATTCAAAGCTTCAGCAAAATAGCCTGAATTCACGTACCCTCCAATAAGGGTAGTCCAGGAGATAATATCGGGCTCCAGACCCACAATCTTCATCTGTTGAATGAGTTCCAGAACTTCCTGAAAATATCCATCTCGAGCCAGAGCAGAGATTAATGCATTACAAGAGATCAAATCTGGTTTCATTCCCATGGATTGCATCTTGCAGAAACAGTTCAATGCTTCTTTGGAACATCCATGGGCTGCATAGCCTGATATCATTGTGTTCCAAGTAATCAGATTTAATTTCAACCCCTCCACTGCTTTCATTTCCTCAATCAATCTAATGAATGCAGGAAACTCTCCAGCATCACTATAACCTTTCAACATAGAATTCCATGATGCAATGTCTCTGAGATACATCCTATCAAATAATTTACGAGCATCATCGATACGACCCCACTTCCTATAAGCGTCAAGCAAACAGTTGTTTACAAAAATATCAGATTCATATCCACTCCTATAAGCAAACCCATGAACCTCCCTTCCCAATCTAAAATTACATGAACCAGCACAAGCTTTGACAATATTACTTAAAACAAACCCATCTGCTCTCACATGGGTACCACTAAAATCACGAACAAGGTGCAAGGCATCATCGAACTGACCATTTCGACAGAACCCAGTCAATATCACAGACCACGTGTGCAAGTTCTTATCGTTAACAGCATCGAATACCTGTAATGCAGCATCCAGACTACCGCATTTAATGAACATGCCGATAATTTTCGTTCCCAAGTAACAACCCCTGTGCAAATCAGAACCCTTCATGTGGCGGTAAACCTCGTTGGCAAGAGACAGATCTCCTACGGAGGCAATTGAAGAAATCAAAAGCTCGTACATACGAAGCCTCTCTGGAGATAAAATTGGTTTTTGAAACAAATCAAGAGTACTAACAGCTTCTTTTAATCGATTCTCCGAGCAGAGCCTCACGATATTGGGAAAAAGTTCTCCTTTACCAGTGGGCTTGAGAATTCTGTGCGGAGACCCATGATGGGTCTGCAAATAAAGGGGGTTCCTAGGGGTTTTGAGGATTGCAGAGGCCATAAGCTCTGCAAAAGTTTGGAGCTTGAAACGACGGAAAAGCTGCACATTACGAAATTATCTTTGCTTTGTTGGAGGAGTTGGATAGGGAAGAAAACACAATATGGAAAGGATTTGAAAGGTTGGGAAATTGCCATTTGCGGATGAAGTTTTATGAAGCACCGGGTCACAAACTTCACCATCGGTCCATCACCTCACCATAACCTGCAAACGGATCGGATAAGATCCGGATATGGTAATATCCAAATCTGATTCGTATCCGTTTATATTTGGATTATAAGCGAATCTATCTCTCGGATTGCGGATTCGAATCGCATCCGGATTGAATAGAATTTATAAATTAAACTGAAAATAATCAAAATGTTAAATATATATTATTAATAAAATAAACCAGCTTTAATATTGTACTAACGGCCCCATGCGATGCATGGGATGGGGCACTCCTCCCTGTCCCTTGCCCCCGTAGTCAAGACATTCTACCATCTCTACCTCATCCCTGGTGGTGGGGCGGTTTCGAGACGAGGCACCCATTCCCTATTAGGGATAGGGAATCCCCAAATTTTCCCCACTCCAAGGCAACCACCTAAAAATAATCTAATTTGTGAATGTTTTATAAATAGGATTATGGGAATTTGGGGGTATTGTAGGAATTTGGATTATGACAAATTTGGGGTATTTTATAAATGGAATTGTGGAATCCTAAGATTATAACAATACGAGGAAAACTTAAAGATATTTTAAAAATCAATATTAAATCTATTGATAGTTTACTAATTTACCATTGGGTTTGGAGAATTATATGCAAATTCCATCCCTGATTTGGAGTAAACATATTTTCCCCATCCCCACCCTATCTCTTCACCATCCCTATTTAAAATTCGAGAAAACTTGCCCCGTTCGAGGTGGGGCAGGGTAGGGCCCTAGTTTTATAGGGAAAATTGCCATCCCTATAGTTCTAATAATTTTCTATAGTTAATTAACAAATAGTAAATAACGGTTCCGTTTCTAGGTAGATTTTTAAAACCTTGAATAAAAGTAACCAAATAGTGGCTTGCAGTTGCATGTGTACTCCTCAAAGGAATCAACTTACGAGCCTGTCCCTTGAAAATAATAGGGCAATTTACTTAAACTACCCCTACTATTTAGCTAATTGACTAACTCCACTCTTGTTGATTAGCTATTGTTTTAAAGTACTCTTAAGTTTTTTAACAATTATCTAAAACCTCCCTTGCCGTTAATTTTCCGTCATACTTCGTTCACATGTGACATCACATGAGTGGTAATCATTTTAAAATTCCTAAAATACTCTTATTATTAACTACCATTGTTGGAAGATGCAGCGGTGGCGGTGATTTTGGTAAAAAACAAAGTTGAAGGGAGTGGAGGAAACCCTGATCCCTTTTCCCTTTGTTTTTCATTGTAAAAGAACCCTATAGCAGTGGCGGAAGTGATTTTATCATCGAAAACTCTATGTTCCTCTCGAAGTCAGAAACCCTTGTGATGCCTTTGCCAGTAAGGGAGATGGAGATGATGAGGGAGATGGTGTTCCACCCCAAACCAAAATTGAAGTCATTTTGGGATTGCTCATCTGAACTAAATGCCCGAAGACTGAGCACTATTGTCGTGGCAGGAGATGGCGGCTAGTGCAACTTCCAAACGGCAAAAGTTTTGTGAGAAGGTGAAGAAGCTATTCTGAGCTATAAAGCATGCTTGCAGTTTTTTTTTTTCTTTGATTAGTCAAAGCTCTTCCAATATATACCTTACCGGCATTGTAGATAGGGGTGCTCATCGTGGGCCTTTTTTCAAATCAAAGCAGTGTATCGCTTCAAGGACAAGGAACAAGGAGGGGTGCCACATCCCGTGTATCGCCACTAGTTATAATTACTTTTGTACTTTTGACATTTTTTAAGTTATAACATAATTTTGTTATTTAATTTATTTTTTCTTTTTGAAATAATATATAAGATATGATTTAGTTATTAATATTATTTAATTGTTTAAATAATACCATTATTTAAAATTTTAAAATATTAATTATTTATTAAATTTAATAATCCATGAAATTATAATATATACTATTATTACATAATTATTATTCTATTCTTAAGATTTTTTTTAATTTATTACATAATTCTGTTATTTTAACTATTTAAAATTTAGTTGTGTTAAATATTTCATTATTTAAATATTTAAATAATATGTAAAATCTTTAATCTTTTTTATTTAAACTTTACTCCTTTAAAGTAATTATGTAATTTTAAATATTTTGTTACATAATTATTTATCTATTTTTAATATTTTGTTATTTAAATGTTTTTTATTTATGTTTTAAAACATTATTTAGTTATTAAATTGAACAATCCATAAAATTATATTTTATATTCTTATTACATAATTTCATTATGAATTTCATAAAAATACAAAATTATTAATAATTTTAATATTATTAAACCTACTGTAATTATTTTTTGTGTTTTTAATAAATATTTTAAAGTTATTAACACAATTTCATCATAATATTTAAATAATTATTAAATGTTTTAATTGAAGCTTTCTTTAGATAGATATAGATGAAAAGTGTGGAGAGGATAAATAGGAATTAGAGATAATTTAGGAGATACATAGGATTTAGGGAGAGAAAGAGATTATTTAGGAGAAAGTGGGGGATAGTTAATTTCCTAATAAAAATGAGATAAGCCATATTAGGTGGCAACTCCTAGTGCTTCTAGAGGGAATCTTGCACCTCCTCTAGAATTGTTCGTTTGGGTAATGGAGCAAGGAGAGAACTGTTGACATGGCAAGCTCTACTTTAGTATATATATATATATCATTGATAAAATATATTAAAAATAAATTTTATAAATTTGAACCAATGACTCTTTACTAAAAGCAATACATTCAAATCAACTTAGTAATTTTAGTATATATTAATGTTCGATTTGAATCAAATTGAATAATATGTACCGGATAGAGGTGACCAGTATTCGGTCCAACTATAACAGATCAATTTGGATCAGTCTTGATAGGATTGAATCATGTGGAACCTACCAAATCACCAACGTGGTATACATGGTAAAGGGTTTTAATTGAACAATGTAGAGAAATTATTGGTTCCTACTTAGTTGGAGGATTTGTATCCTATCAAAAGCATTTTTAGCTAAAATTTAGGGTTTTAAGGTTAGAAGTTATAGATTTAGGAATTTTGGGTTTGGAGTTTAGGTTTGAGATGCAACTTGCGAGTGCTCTATCAAGCTCCCAAATTGGTTGGTGCCACATAGAACAAGGTGTGTGCATATGTAGCAAGGAAATGGAAAAGTTGTCTATTATTAATAAAAGCAATGTTTTTGAACCGCCATTGACCCGGACAGTCAAACCATTTGGGACCAAAAATCGTCCAGGTGACTGGTTCCGTTTTACCCCAAACCCAGTCTTCAGTAAAAAATCGTTGAATTAGTCAACGAACCGTTGACCGTTGAATCGTTCGACCTGGAGAATGGTTTGTGGTTTATTAAATAAGAGCAAGATTCAAGAATGAAAAGATAAATCTCTCAGATCTGAGATCTGAGATCTACTAGAGAGAGAGAGAAATCAGTTGAGGGAGATCTGAGATCTGAGATCTACCAGATGTGAGAGATAGTGAGAGAGAGATATGGGAGAGAAGGATAAGAGTTTAGATGCCAGATCTGAGAGAGAGATTTGAGACCAAGAGAAATCTCAGATCTACATTCATTGCCGCCACTGTAGTTCGCCATTGTTGTTGCCGCTGCAGCCAACCTCCTCCTCCTCCTCCTCCTCCTCCTTCTTCTTCTTCTAAATCTCAGCTACCAACAATTCTCACACCACTTTCATTAGTCAAACCCTTTTTCTCTTCTATTTATATGCATCTTACTCTAATATTCCAATCTAATGGGTAAGATGGCATATCAACATTTATAATAATTAAACCGTTCGAACCTTTGACCCAGACAGTCAAACTGTTGACCCAAAAATCAGTGGCCAGAACGGTTCCATTCCTGGGTTGGTTTTTAAAACCTTCAATAAAAGTAACCAAATAGTGGCTTGTAATTGCATGTGTACTCCTCAAAGGAATCAACTTACGAGCCTATCCCTTGAAAACAATAGGGAAATTTCCTTAAACTACCCCTACTATTTAGCTAATTGACTAACTCCACCCATATTGTTTAATTATTGTCTTAAAGTACCCTTAAGTTTTTTGACAATTGTCTAAAACCTCCCTTGCTGTTAATTTTCCATCACACTTCGTCCACATGCGACATCACGTGAGTGGTAATTATTTTAAAATTCATAAAATACCCTTATTAATCATCACCATTGTTGGAAGTTGCAGTAGTGGTGGTGATTTTGGTAAAAAACAAAGCTAAAGGGAGCGGAGGAAACCCTAATCCCTTTTTCCCTTTGTTTTTCGTTGTAAAAGAACCTTGTTGTTAGCGATAGTGATTTCGTCGTCAGAAATGTTGTGTTCTCTGGAAGTCAGAAACCCTTGTGACGCCTTTGTCGGTAAGGGAGATGGAGACAACGAGGGAGATGGTGCTCCACCCCAAGTCCAAATTGAAGTCATTCTTGGATTGCTCATCTGAATTGAATGCCCAAAGACTGCAACTTCCAAACAGCAAAAGTTTGGTGAGAAGGAGGTGAAGAAGGTTGAAGAAGCTATTCCGAGCTATAAAGCATGCTTGCAATTTTTTTTTTTTTTTGATAATTTTCTAAAAGGTTCGCTCATGATACCCATAAAAATTTAGAATCAATCAACCAGTATCGTAGAAGTGGTAACCCATCAGGTGGAATTCATCAAAATTCATTTGGGGGGAGGGGGTTGATTAGTCAAAGCTCTTCCAATATATACCTTACTGGCATTGTAAATAGGGGTGCTCACCGTGGGCCTTTTTTCAAATCAAACCAATGGTACCATTTTTTGGAAAGCTGGTAATCGAAACTGAACCAAAGCCAATTAGTTAACCGCTGGTTTGGTTCATCAGTTTTTTGATTTTTGGTTTTCATTTTATTATGTATAATAAATATTATAATTTACAAATATATATTTATAATATAGACAATATAAAATGTATATAAAAAAATATATATATAATATACATAAATATATATATATATATAATATAATATAATATAATATATGTATATTAGTCGATTCAGTTAACCACTGATTTTTTATATTGGTTAATTGAAACCGAACCGATACCTTCGATTTTTCCAAAATACCAAATCAAAACTGAACTGGTTGGTTCAATTAACCAAAATTTTTTATTCGATTTTATTAGTTTGATTCAGTTTTTTGGTTATTTCTTGCTCTCTCCTAATCGTAGATTTATCCTTTTCTCCATTTTCATTTCCTAAAATTTACATAGCCTGGGCCTTTTGGCCAAGAAGGCCCAAGCCATTCAAATTGGGCTGGACCTGTTCAAATTTTAACAAATTCTTAATCTACTCGCGCTAAGTTCCCTATCCATTTTCCTTTTTTAAGTTATATGTTGATGCCCTATTATACATTCTCTGATTCTCACTCATTTCCATGGATCCGCTTCAAATGACACAATGCTCAAAATGAGTGGTGTAGGGCATGGTTCAAAGTATCAATATGATTGTTACATAGATTATTACATACATACAGATATACAAAAATAAATAGTAATTATAATCAGTATTTCTATTATTTCATATTCACATAAAGGGCCCGTTTCGTTTGCTTCCTGAGCTAAAATTGGAATTAAAATCATCTGGAATGAGATCTCATTTCTAAAAGAGGAGAAGGAAATGACCATTCCCTTAAATGGGAGAATGCCATTCAAACAAGAATGGGAATGGGATTCTGATTCCACCCAATCAAATGGTTGAAATCAGAATGGGTCATTTCAATTCCAATTCCACATCTCTATTCCTACAAACTAAACGGGCCCTAAATTTCTTCTCTATTTATAAGTTAGACTGTTAAGAGTTGCGCATACCTAAAGAAAGGGATGCACTATGGGAATCCAGGACTGCCATAATTCTTAATCAAGACAGGTCCAACATTGAATGGTTCCTAACAATAGCTATCGCTGTGCTGAAAATCAATTCTTTCCGACATTTTGGTTCAATTAGATTTTTAACCACCTGATTCTATTTGTAGATTTTTTTTTTTTGAAAGTAACTTTCCTCTACCATCGGTTTAAATGCAATATTTTAGAGGGTTAAAGTCTTTATGTATAGACTGACAAAAAAAAAGTCTTTATGTTAAGATCATTCTTGGCCTGGCTAAGGCTGGGGCCTAGGGGTGATTTGGTTGATCATTTCTAACCTGGTCCAACCCAGCAGAAAAAAAAAAGGAATAATCAAAAGCACCAACTCGGGTGCATTAGATTAGACTAAGCATATCAATTAGAACCAAGCTAAGTTTTTAAGGAGATAAGTCCTTATGGCTAAAATGCCCTTATGAATACTGCTGAGTTTTTAACTGCAAAAAGGAGATAGGTCCTTATGGCTATGTTTGGTTTGAAGGAAAAAGTAGGAAAACCTATACAAGGTTTTTAAAGGCCTCTCCCTTTCCCTACTTTTTACTTCAAACCAAACAGCTTAAAATAAGGAATGCTTAATTTTAACCACAAATAAAGGCTGGCACTATCGCATTACCTTGTCAAGAGAAAAAAAAAAGTCAGAAACCTCTGTTCTTTGATTAGCAACTCAAAAACCTTCCCTGTTTCAGCTCTCAAGTTGATTGAGTGAAGCATGGATATAAAGTCTACATGAGGGAAGAAAAAAAAGAGTTTTACATGTCTAAGGATTGCAAAATCAATAAAACACACAATGAGGAATCAGTGAGTTAGAACAGTTAGTCAAAAAAAAGAGGGATTTATAGGGAAGTTGGGCTTTAAAACAAAACAAAGACATAGAAGAGCATATTAGTGGTAATTCAAATTCCAGCTGCACTGGGATTTCCACTTTATCCGTGTAACCATGCCATAGCAATGCATTTCTAACATACACAAGGAAATTCCCAAAAAAAAATAATATATATATATATATATATATTTAAGAAAAAGATCCTGCATAAATAGAAAATGCATCACTACAGGCTGCAGCATTCATCCGTGTACTATGGTCACTATACACAACTGAGGATCCAAGTCTAAGTTGAACCCACTTTTCCAAATAACCTAGGAGGAACCTTTGGAAGAAGCTTTTAGACGAGAGTGCTGCCCCTCCAACCTTGCTTCAAGCAGCTTTTCTTTCAAGGTATTCCCTTTAAAACCTCTTGGCCATTTCGAAGAAAGCTCTGATATCTCAAGATCTGGGGATGCAAATCTGGAAATCCATTGTTGTACTGGACTAGCATGACCCTTACATATAGATTCACTGCATGGTTCTTCCTTACAATCATTTTCAGGTCCAAATTTTCCTCCTAGCAGTGATGGATTTCCAGTCAAGTTGTCAACCACATTGTTTGAGTTGGATCTACGAATCTCATCTCGTTTACTCTTTCTCTCTTGGTTTCCATCTTCTGTATCTTCACAGATTTCTGACTTACGGGAAATGCTTATTTCTACCAGGCTTGCATCTTCACCCACCTTCATGGACTCCCCATCCATGAGGGTGGTATTTCCATTGCATGATGCTGCCCAAGGCATTTGTTCTTCAAGCTGCACTTGTGAACCTTTGGTCCTTTCATGGGACCCAAGTTTCTTCTTATTAGGATAGCATTTTGTTGTTTTGTCAACATCTCTCAAATTTTCTTCTGCATTGGGCTTAGAGAAACCATTGTTTTTCTTGTTGCCAACAACTTTGTTTAGTTCAAAACAATGTGAGTCACAACTCACAGAATCTTCATCACCTACATCTTGGGGTGCACTTGTAGCCTCATTCAAGTGAATGGACTCAAGAGAATGGCGATGCAAGGTACAATTCGGATCTTTTGCAAATAAGATATCATTGCTCTTAGAACTTCCAGATCGTTTAGCTTGAAGGAAGGTCTCTATCTCAAAGCTTAACTTGTCAACTATTGTGTTCTTTTCAGCAAGACCCGACTGAACTTCAGAAAGCTTCATCTGCATCCTTTCATCAAGCCATGCCTCAGAAATATGAAGTATCAACCGATCATGGCCATTCCTGTCATTATGATCCATATCAAACTTGTGTTTAAGGGACCGCACCTCCTGATCATAGTCTCCTATTCCCCTAGCAAACTCATCACACAGATCTTCCAATAGTGCCCTTGCTTTCCCCTCTCTTTCTAGCTCTTTCAGAGCTTTTGAGAAGGCAGTCTTCACCTCAGAGAGCTCTCGAGCTAGTTTACGGTGCAGGTTCTCTGAGTGCTTTCTTAACTTCCTCTCATCTTCTAGCTCATCCCTCACAGACTGAACTGCAGCCTTGATGCGATCCTGCTCCTTGCTCTTTCTAACTAGTTTTTCCTCTACAATTTGTTTCATTAGTTCATCCATTTCATGTCTATCTGTTTGCTGTTCTTTTAGCAACTCCTTGATCCGGGTCCGAGCATGGTCCAGCTCAATTTTCAGTGCTTTTACCAATGATATACTGGATGCATGCTGTTCCTCCAGGCTCCAGATCCGGTTCAATACTTTTAGCAACTCTGTAGAAGTTTTAAGACTATACCCTGATTCCCCAACCCTTCCCTTAATGTCCAAAGAACTAGTAGGAGTAAGAGGAGGGTTATAAGCCGCCACCTACAAGGAAAAGGTATAATGAGTTATATATTTGGTACAAATAGGGTGTAATTGTTAGACATTTGATGGTAAATGGTAAAGATTGCACGGTTGCAAGATTTTGGTAAATCCATTTTATGGATGATGATAGAACTATAAAAGTTGGATACATACATTCAACTATGTTTTTTTTTGGGAAAATCTCTTAAAATACCCCTAAGTTTTAGGAAATTGACTTACTCTACTCCTACTGTTTAAAGATTGCCTTAAAGCATCCTCAAGTTTTCTGACAATTGACTAAATCCTCCCCTGTCCATTAGTGCTCTATTACAATCCGTTCACATGTGACATCACATGATGTATAGAATTTTTTAAATCCCAATATTACCCTTTTGTGGTTGATTTTTCCCTCCATTATTCTTCAAAGTTTCAAAATAAAACAGAACAGATCCAAATTTTCAACAACACCTCTACCATTACAAACTTGGAATGCCATTAATGGACCATCCCAAAGCTTGGGCCATCATTATTAGTCAGGCCCAAGGGGCATTTATCCAAGGACGACAGATAATTGATCAGACCCTAGTTGCCAATGAAAGTGTGGAGGAGATGAAGAGGTCTAAGCAAAGAGGCTTTGTCTGTAAGTTCAATCTTGAGAAAGCCTATGGTTTGGTGGATTGACAGTTCTTAGTAAAGGTTTTGAGGAAGTGTGGGTTTGGGGAAAGACGGTGTGGTTGGATGTTTGGTTGTGTTAGCTCTTGTCACTACTCCATCTTAGTAAATGGGGTGGTAAGGGATTTTTTTCCAGCTAGTAGGGGTATTAGACAAGGGGATCCACTTTCACCTTTTCTCTTTACCTTGATAGCTGATGTGTTCAGTGAAATTATCACAAGGGCTGATAGGGAAGATGTGATAAAGGGATGGAGAATAGGCACAAACCAAATTCCAGTAACTCATTTGCAGTTTGCGGATGACTTAATGATCTTCTGTGGTGGTGGTGGTTTTAGTGAGAAGGTGGGAAACTTGAAAGAATTGATTAAAGCCATTGAAGGAGTGTCCAATTTGAAAATCAATTTAGAAAAGAGCAGAATTGCTGGAGTCAATCTGGACTTTGAGAAGGTTGAGGCTATTGCAGATTGTCTTCAGTGCTCCATTTCTACTTGGCCTTTGTCCTATTTAGGGCTGCCTTAGGGGCAAACCCTAGGGAGAATAGGTTCTGGACCACAGTTATAGAGAAGTTTGAAAAGAGATTAGTTGTGTGGAAGAAAAATTACATCTCTTTGGGTGGGAGGATCACCTTGATAAGAGCTACCCTTGCGAACCTACCTACTTACTACCTCTTTGTCTTTAGGATACCATCTAGGGAAGCGAAGAAATTGGAAAAATTAATGAGAGATTTTCTTTGGGAACCGGGAGAAGGTAAAAAAGACCACTTAATCAGTTGAGAGGTTGTGGGTAGAAGCAAAGAGGAAGGAGGATTAGGGCTTGGGAATGTGCTTAAGAAGAATTCAGCCTTGTTAGGGAAGTGGTTGTGGAGGTGGCCTATGGAGATAGGTTGTGGCATGAAGTGGTGAAGAGTATTCATGGATGCTCAGAGAGTAGATGGGATGTTGGTGCTTCAAGGAGGGCTAACCTAGCAACACCTTGGAAAGCAATTCACAAAATTCTTCCGCAGTTCCTAAGTTGTATAAGGTATTATGCTTGTTCTGGTAACTCTATTCGGTTTTGGGAGGACATTTGGGCGGGAGATCTTCCCCTAAAAGACCTTTTTCCGTCCTTGTACTCTATTTCCTTGTATAAAAAAGAGGTGATTTCAAAATTTCTTCCTTCAATTTTAAATTTGTTGTCTTTGTCTTGGGACTTTGGTTTCCGTAGAGGGTTAAGGGAGGAGAAATTGATTGTTTGTTTGCTCTTCTTGGTCTCCTCGATAAGGTTTGGTTAGATCCTTTGAAGCCTGATAAGAGGATTTGGGCCATTCACCCTAATGGGTCTTTTTCTTATGGCTCCTTTTTTAATTTTCTGTGCCAAACCTCCTCTCGACAAAGTTTCCCTTCCAAAGAAATCTGGTGTAGATCGGTTCCCCCCAAGGTTATGGCTTTGTGTTGGGAAGTGTCACATGGTAAAGTAAGCACGATGAAAAACCTACAAAAGAGAAGACCCTTCCTATGTATTTCTCCAAACTGGTGCACTCTTTGCAGATCTCATGGTGAGGACTATTATCACTTATTTTTATCTTGTAGTGTCACTGCAGAGCTTTGGGTTTGACTTCTATCATTGTTTGGGTGTAGATAGGATATGCCAACAGAAGCAAGTACAATCTTTAACCCTTCTATGTTCTATTGGCCCCATAAAAGAGGAAGGAAAATGTGGAGGTGTGCACAAGCAGCCTTGTTATGGACAGTTTGGGAAGAAAGAAATGCCAGGATCTTCTAGGAAAAGGGGAGAAGCAGTTAGGCCTTGAAGGACTGCATTTTGTATAAGGCAATACATTGGTTAAAGACTCTGGATTTGTTTGATCATTTCTCCTTTACTGACTATTGGAGGGATTGGTTATCATCAGTAGCAAGTTGTTACTCCTCAAAGATAAAGGTAACGACAAGTTGGGTCCCCCCTTCTCATGGTTCTTTGAAGCTGAATTTTGATGGAAGTAGCCAGGGCAACCCGGATCCCTCTGGTTTGGGAGGTGTACTGAGGAATGAGCCTAGAGAGGCTGTTTTACTATACTCTGGCCCTTTAGGTGTTGGTAACTCTATTCGGGCAGAGCTATTAGCTGCAATACAAGGAATAATTCTTGCAAAAGAAATGGGTGTGGAGCAGCTTTTGGTTGAAGGGGACTCTAAGACAGTGGTGAACTGGTTAAATAATCCGAAGAATGTCACGTGGGACTACAAGAATGAGATAAAGAAATTCAAATGGCTGACAAGGAATATGTCTGTAACAGAACAGTGGGTTAGGAGATCAACTAATGCATTTGCTGATGTCTTGGCAAAACAAGGGACAAACAGGGAAACATTGTTCGGGGTGCAACTATAATTTGTCTTTTGTAACAGTCATGCACTTCTTGATGTAGTTTTTGTGTTTTCTGTATGGAGAGGCAGCACCTCGCACCTCCCTAAGGGGATTTTCATGTAACCGATCTTTGAATTAATAGAATATGACTCTTTACTTATCAAAAAAAAGTACCCCCCAAGTTTTCTGGCAATCGACTAAATCCTCCCCTGTCCATTAATGGTGTTCCATTACAATCTGTTCACATGTGACATCACGTGATGTATAGAATTTCTTAAATCCCAATATTATCCTTTTGTGATTGATTTTGCCCTCCATTGTTCTTCAAAGTTTCAAAATAAAACTCAACAGATTCAAATTTTCAACAACACCTCTACTGTTGCAAACCTGGAACGCCATTAATGGACCATCCCAAAGCTTGGTTTGAGCATTTGTTGATACCTTCTCAATCCCTTTTTTGTGTCTCTTGGTTTGAGCATTTGTGGGCTTTGTTTACAAGTTTGAACTGCATTTCTGGTTTCAAATGCCATTTGATGTTTATCATTCAGCACTGCTGATGGTAAAGCTGAATTGTAAAACTGGAAGAGATGATGGCCAGGGGTGTGGGATGACAAGTTTGGTGCCTGCATTTCCGTTAACAGCAGGTTTGTTCAAATGTTTCATTTTGAAAATTTAAAGAATGATGAGTAAAATACCTGGGGGTACTTTTAAGGCAATTTCTAAACAGTAGAGGTAGAGTAAGTCAATTTCCTAAAACTTGGGGGTATTTTAAGAGATTTTCCCTTTTTTTTTGGGTAATTATACATTCAAGTATGGTTAGATGGCTAATAATCTGACAAACAGATATATCTGCTTGACAAGGGACTTTCTCAAGTAAGAGGTCTACTTGAAGGCTTGAAGCTCCAAATGGAATCTGACAAGAAAATTTTGAGTAGACTTCCAAAATATCTCAGTAAATTATATCTTCCATGGTCATAAGCAATTTATTGACAAAAGGAAGAATGAGTGAAATGCACAAGCAGAGTACAAAATTGTTGGTATTTGTCAATTTAAAAATAAAATTATTTTTTTTCAAAGAATCTATTGGGTTGATATGTGTGACACTGATACTGGAATGAACATATTCCCCAGTGAACACTACCAGCACAATGTGGAGTACAAGAAAAAAGGACTGCCAGGTGCACAAGGCTTCCACCAATGCAGGATCTGAGGAGGGACAGATTTTCGCAGCCTTACCCCTACACATACAAAGAGGTTGTTTCCAAGATTTGAACCCTGGTCACTCAGGTTGCAATGGAACAACCTAACCATTGCACCAAGGCCCACCCTCACTATGTGGAGTACAAGATATAGTACTATAACATAAGTTGGTGCTAATATTGTAGATATGTGGAATAACAATGTTATTACCTACCTAACTTACATGACTACCACTTTGAGCTAGCTCAATATTCATTTTAAACATGAAGTTAAATATTAGTTTTTGTTTGTGTAATAGATTATTTGGTTGATCTATTACAACCATTTTAAACATGAAGTTAAAATATTAGCTTTTGTTTGTGTAATAGATTATTTTGTTCATAGGATAACTTCAGAATGTATTCTTCTGTCTATAACCTTAGTTTCTTAACTTTGTTTAATGATTTTGAATGAGATAATAATTTAAAAAGGTGCACCCATGCTCCTTTTATCATTTCATAAAATATCAATCTATATTTTGCATATTTTACAATGTTTTGACCATGTCTATAATTTTTACAATATTTCCATACAGTATTTCTGACATTTCCAACATGTTTCTAATATTTGGGCTATCAACATTTCCTCCAAAACTGACATTTTAAACCTTGCCTAAGAGTCCTTATCACCTCTAGATGGGGGTCTATAATAAACCTTTCAAAGATTTAAGGATGCAAATGGATTGGGTCAAATTCAAATCCATTAAGGATGTCGGAAATTCAAATATGATCCGATCCGATTTAATTTCTGTAAAATTTAACAAATTATTAAAAGGAAACATCACAGATCTATATAAAGAAAACAAAAGATACAACAATTTTTTCAAATATTTTTATCATATATATACATGTCTTTTTATTAAAATTTGTAGAGAACATTAATGTGGACCCCACTAAGGTGGTCCCCACTGTTCGTATGTCCGCAATAAGTTATGATTAGGATGAGTTCTTTATGATAAGATTAGAACTAGTCTTTTATAAGATTAGGATTAGTCTTTTTTCAGCCTTATCTTATCTTATCTTATCTTGCCATGTAAGCAATTCAGTCCTTTTACAAGTATGATACTATGTATATAAATTTAAGAGGGGGGCAGCTGTTTCAAACATCAACCCAACTCTCTTTTATCAAAATCTCTCTCTCTCTCTCTTTTCTCCCTCTTATTTTCTTATTTTTTTCTTCTCCTTTTAAATGTCTGTTCAATCTTGAGCGACTACTAAATTTTCATGTTGCTTCCTCAAATGTTAAGAAGACTTATGGACCTAAAGTCTTTTAAGTTCACAGCCCCTCAAGCAGAGAACATGGTCCAGAAGAATTGGGATTGCAAGAATGAGAACCAATAGCATCAATGCAGACCCGGGCTCCAAACAGGTAGACTGGACTTAATTTGAACTGGAATGTCCCAATTCATTAACAAAAAGAAAGAATGGGTGAAACCCACATGCAGAATACAAATAAGCAGAATAGATTGATTAAACAAAAATAACAGGAAAATGAATCACGAACATAACTACTGCCATAAACATTGGAATCCCATGAATTAAGAAATATTGTTACTTCCCAAATCGATGACCAACAGAATAACAAACTTCAATCATGCAAAACTTGAAATTTCTGAAGCAACTCAGTAAATTATATCTTCCAAGGTCATAAACAATTCACTGATCAGCAAACCAACATATTGCTAGTTCCTGCCTAATCATGCTCTATCATCTACTGGACAAAGGAAAGACTAAACTATGCTGCCATATATTACTCAAAGAATCAGCAAATCAACATAATTTGTTTTTCCTAATTGGATGATCAACCACAAAATATATTGCTAATTCCTGCACACAATTTCCCCCTCATTTTAGTTTTATTTCCTAGACAGAGAATGTGGTTATGCTACATACTCCTTGCATGTAGGAATCAAAAACAGAAATTCTGGATATAAAGTCATATTTTCCTAACTTTATTGGACTAGATCAATGTTTCAGGCTAGGGGCAAACTGGGAATGGCAACGAAGTATCCACATTTCTCCATAACATCACCAACTTGCTTGAGAGGGCAAAATAAGTAATGTATGTCTACATGGAACTCATTTTAGATGACTCCAGCATCAATTTTCAACCAAAGGGTCGCATTTTGTATAGGTTGAGCCAACACAAGCAAATTTGAGTGCAATGGAAAAAAGAAAAGAAAAGCATACCAAACTTGTTTTTGTCACACTGGACTTGATTTAGTTAATAAAACTAATTTTCGAATTGTAATTTGGAATTCCCAAAACCCTTAATATATATCATTTCCAGTGTTTTAAAAGGTATGGAAGGCGTGCCTCCAGACAACGCACCCCTAAAACGCCTTGAGGTGTATGCCAGAGGCGTATGGCTCAGGTGCAAGAGGCATACGCCTCATACACCTTTTTCATGAGGCATGCTAAAGGCGCCCCTCATGCACCTCATACAAAAAGACAAAAAAGAAAGAAAAATAAATGAAAGGAAAAGAAAAGGAAGGGAAAGAAAAAGAAAGAAAAGTAAAAAAGAGAAAAGAAAGAAAAGAAAAAGGGAAGGGAAGGTTCATATGCATCTTCATTCTTCTTAATATAAAATATTTTTATTAAAAATAAAGTAAAATGAGATCCTCTTTCCTCTTCTTCCTCCTCTCCCCCCTTTTCCTCCTCATCTCCGTCCTCTCAAGGAGGCTTGTGTTCGGGAGGCTTATGCCTCTTACGTTCTGAAGTACACCTCACGCCTCTAGGTAGTGTAATGCCTCTTGTCACACCTCCACATTTTAAAACAGCCATCATTTTTTTTTATCAAAATTCAAAAGACATTTACCTATGAAAAGGAAAGAATGAAGAAAATAAAAAGTAAACAGCATATGTGGATATTTACCTCCATTGAACTACAATAACTAGCAGGAGATAGAGGCTGTAAAGCACAGGCGTTCATTTCAATTGATTGATGGTGCTGCATCAATGATACTGCAACATGCCTCCTCAGACTACTAGCACTTTCTGGCTGTAAGAGAAACAAGCTAATGATTAGTTATATGAACCTTTTCTTTTCTTGAATGATGCATAACCTTAAAATACATTTATTAGTTGCTTCCAGTAGGGTAGTAGGTTCATATGCAACCCAAGAACAGCAAGACATCAGCTAAGCAGTAGTAAACCAGGTTGATTTGGGTAAGGATGATTACTTGTGTCACATATTACAACTTCTTTCGAATGAACTAAAGCTGTATTTGGTTGCACACAAAATGAAAGAATAAATGATTGCCTTGGAAAATGGTATTACGACGATGAGTCATATTCCTAATTGTCCTGGTGTTTCACTTAACTCTGAAAAGAAAACTGAATAGTTGAGAAATATACAAGTGTCTACAAGATATGAATCAAGAAAACAAAAAATAACTTGTGGAAAATTAAAAGAAATGTCATTTTCTTAAAATTAGTAGTTTAATATTTACTTTTTCAAAAATGTTCATTTTCTGCAGCCACTTTACGTGCAACCAAATAGTGTCTAAAAGTACATTAGAGAGATCTGAGAATTAATAGTCACATTTTTCCATGTCTAAAGAGTTGCAGAGATGCTCTGATTCCTAAACACTTTAATTCTTTATGTTTTCACAGTTTTACATGCACATGGAAGAATTCACCCTTTGAGATATATTTGAAAGGTTTTTCCCAGACTTGAAGTTTGTAAATGACTATATAGCTATCTCATTTTAAATTTGTGATCACCAGACCAAAGTTCCTTTAATGAGATGCATGTCTACCTTTTAACAACAGTTGGTGGTGGTTCCACTATAATGTCCTACATATTATAAATCTACAGGCTTGGGTCCCCTAAAGTGGTAATGCATCAACCCAAGTTTGAAAATGCCCACTCAACTTGATGTTGCGGATGCATTCGTTGGGAAGAAATACCGCCGCAGGCAGCAGAAACAGCAGTAACGAAGTGTCCACACAGGAGTCCACATAGGATTAGGCCACAGCTTATTTCATCTTATCTTTCACAGTTATCTTATTTGTTTTTCTCATTTATCTAGTCCGATAAGGTTTAATAGGGAGTCTTATAGTAGGAGTTTGATTTATCTAGGGAGTCTTATCCTTCCCAAGATAGGGATCTTATTTGTAAGAAGTTGAATCCAATAAGGAGTATCCCTACCTCTTGTAATCTCCTATTTAAGGAGCTAGAATTAAAGAATAAAGGCATCAAATTTTCGGTCAAGAAAGGAGTAAAGGAGAGTTAGGGTGATCTCTTGGACAAATCACCATTAGGGCGCCAAGATAAGTTCCTCAAGGAAAGGGAGGAACAAGGAAAAATAGGAGGTTCTCCCCGTGGACCGATCCGTGACACGATCCTACGCCCGGGCCCATAACATCTTGGTATCAGAGCCTACCGTCATGGGAGATCTGGAGCAGCTATCATCCAGGGTCCACGAACTAGAGCATAGGCTCGTGGAAACCAGCGTGGAGGTTCGTGAGGTCAAAGACGATGTCCGGGAGCTGCGACGCTTGCTGGAATCATATTTCTCGAACAGGGAAAGGAACTCTAAGGGAACCGCTGACCAGACTGGGCAGAGACGTCCGACGAACAACAGACCGCCGCCCCGGCAGCCACGGTTGTTCCCAAGTATAGCCGACTAGAATTTTCGTGTTACAACGGAACCGGAGATCTGTTGGGATGGTTATATCGCTACGAACAGTTCTTTTGCAACCAGCGCACAGATGACAGAGACAAGGTCAGTTTGGCCGCCTTCCACCTAACGGAAGAGGCACAACTCTGGTTCTACCGTCTGGAGCAGGAAGAACCCGGGCTTAGTTGGGGACAGTTTAAATCTTACTGCCTCCTCAGGTTTGGACCTCCGTTGACGAGCAACCCGCTGGGCAAATTAATTAACCTCAAGCGAAGTGGAACCGTGGCTGAATACCAACGACAATTCCAAACCCTTCTCGCCAGGGCAGCCTCGGTACGACCAGATCAGCAAGTAGATATGTTCACCGCGGGGTTGGCAGAACCCCTAAGGGTGGACGTGGAGATGCAACACCCTCCCAACCTGGTCACAGCCATGAACCTAGCACATGCCTTCAAGCGCAAACTGCAACTCACCCGTGAGACCTTCAGTGTAGGTCAGCTGGCAACGACCTGGGCACCTTCGAAGACAACCGGAGTGTCCCTTTCTTCAGTATCCAGCAGGGAACAGAGGCCACCTGCCAGTAACACTTCCAGGACGGCATCAAGCATGGGGAGCAGCATGACAGCACCACCCATTAGACGGTAGTCCCGAGCCAAGATGGCAGAGCGTCGTGCAAGGGGGCAATGCCTTAACTGCGATGATTTGTATTCCGTCGGGCACAGATGCAAGAGTCTATTCTGTCTTCTGGTAGACGAACAGGAAGAGGACGAGGATGAACCCGCAGCATCAGAACCCGAGATCTCCCTTCACGCAATCACAGGGATAAAAACCTCACAGACCATGCAACTGAGGGCGCAGGTAGCGGAAAAACCAATATGCATCCTCGTTGACTCAGGAAGCACGCACAACTTTGTCAATGAGCAGGCAGCACGCCAGTTAGAGTTACCTATGGAAATCAGGCCACAACTACAGGTAGCCGTGGCAAACGGGGAAAGAGTTCACAGCCCCGGAATCTGCAAGAACACCAAAATTCAGGTCGAATCGGAATCCTTCTTTGCTGATCTATTTGTGTTGTCCTTCGATGAGTTCGACATCGTCCTAGGAGTCAAGTGGCTGATCACTCTAGGACCAATCTTATGGGATTTCAGCGACCTAACAATGAGATTCCACCTGAATGGAAAACCAGTTACCTGGCAAGGAACCAGGATAAGGGCAAAAACGCAGTTTCATACACTTCAGGGCGAGAATATGCGCGCAGCAGATATGGAGAGGCTCCTCACGGATTTCTCTATTGTATTCCAAGAACCCAAGGGGCTTCCACCCTCCAGAGCTTGCGATCATCGGATCCCTCCGATAACTAGATCGAACCCCGTCTTCGTCTGGCCCTATCGCTACCCACACCGACAGAAGGATGAAATAGAAAGGCAGTGTACGGATATGATGCAGCAGGGAATCATTCGTCCTAGCCGCTCCCCCTTCTCCTCGCCGGTTCTGTTGGGTACCCAAGCAAGATGGGACTTGGAGATTTTGTGTGGACTACAGAGAGCTTAACAACCGGACAGTCAAGGATAAATTTCCTATCCCCATCGTAGATGAGCTATTGGACGAACTCCATAGAACCCAATACTTCTCAAAATTAGACCTCCGGTCAGGTTACTTTCAGGTCCGAATGACTTCCGAAGACGTGGAGAAAACGAACTTCAGAACACATCATGGCCATTTTGAATTCATAGTCATGCCATTCGGCCTCACCAACGCTCCTTCCACATTCCAGTTTCTGATGAACGAGGTATTTCAATCCCACCTCCGCAGATTTGTCTTAGTATTTTTTTTATGACATCCTAGTTTATAGCAAGTCGTGGGTAGAACACGTGCAACATTTGCGGACCATTTTTGAACTCCTGCGCCAGCACAAACTCTTCCTTAAGCGATCCAAATGCTCCTTTGGGGAACGCCGGGTCCTTTACTTAGGACATGTGATCAGCGGGCAAGGGGTCAAGGTGGACGACTCCAAGACTCAGGCTATCAAAGAATGGCCCAAACCACAGCCCGCCAAGGCTCTCCGCGGGTTCCTAGGGTTGACGGGTTACTACCGCAAGTTTGTACAAAATTACGGACTTCTGGCAGCCCCACTAACCGATCTGCTCAAGAAAAATGCCTTCCATTGGGATAAGGCAACCGATGCAGCCTTTGCGAGTTTAAGAGAAGCCCTCTCCTCCACACCAGTCTTGCAGTTGCCAAACTTTGACCTCGAGTTCACAGTTGAATGCGATGCATCCGGCTCCGGCATAGGCGCCATACTACAGCAACAAGGGCACCCGGTCGCCTTCTTCAGTCGCAAACTGGCGGACCGCCATCTTAAATTACCCACCTACGAACGCGAACTGATTGGGTTGGCCAAGGTAGTACAACACTGGCGGCCATACTTATGGGGAAGGTCCTTCGTCGTCAAGACGGACCACTACAGCCTTAAATATTTGTTGGAGCAATGGCTTACCACTTCGCTGCAACAGCATTGGGTCAGCAAACTGCTTGGTTTTGATTTTCGGGTGGACTACAAGGCGGGATCCTTAAACCATGCCGCAGATGCCTTGTCTCGCCAAGAAGAAGACAATATGCTCCTTCATGCGATTTCACAACCCCGAGTCACCCTACTGGAATACATTCGGCACACGCTGCCACAATCACCGGAATGGAGAGACCTTGTTCAAAAGATACAGTCCGGGACAACCGACTACAATTGGTCCATTCACGATGAGCTAGTACTTTACAAAGGACGTATATACCTTCCGGTTGATTCTTCCTCCATCCCCACAGTCATCTCCGGTATACATAACTCCACTCACGAGGGCATTCAAAAGACACTACATCGTATCCGAGCGGATTTCCATTGGCCAGGAATGAAAACTTCTATCCGGGACTTCATCAACAACTGCCCCACGTGCCAACAACATAAATGGGAGAACCTACATCCAGCCGGCCTTCTTCAGCCCCTCTCAATTCCTACGCAGATTTGGGTGGATATATCCATGGATTTCATTGAGGGACTACCCAAGGTGGGAGGGAAGTCGGTTTTGTTCGTTGTGGTGGATCGTTTCTCTAAATATGCCCACTTCATCCCTATGGCACACCCATACAGTGCCATTTCAGTCGCCCACATTTTCTTTACACATTTTCTGTCTACATGGATTACCGGAATCCATCGTCAGCGACAGGAACCCCATTTTTACCAGTACCTTCTGGAAGGAACTATTCCGATTACATGGTACGACCTTGGCCTTCTCCTCCGCCTATCATCCTCGGACAGACGGCCAAATGGGAACAGTCAACAGCACGATCAAAATGTACCTCCGCTGTTTTGTAGGGGACCGACCGCGACAGTGGGTGGATTGGCTTCCCTGGGCCGAATATTGTTACAACACGGCCTATCACTCGTCCTTGGGCATGACACCCTTCCAAGTAGTCTACGGCCGAGATCCTCCTCGCTTGCTATCATACGAGCCTGGATCGACTCGACTGCACGAGATTGACCGTTCCCTCCAAGAATGTGATGCCCTCCTGGCTGAAGTCTCTCTCTGCCTGCAACAAGCGCAATTACGCATGAAGCACACCTATGACCAGCATTGACGGGAGCTAACGTTTGAACCAGGTCAGTTTGTGTGGTTGAAGCTCCAGCCCTACCGACAACGATCCTTGAGACAGCAGGCTGCTCCCAAACTGGCTCCTAAATTCCATGGACCGTTCAAGGTTTTACGGCGGATCGGCCCAGTTGCATACCAGCTTGAGCTACCGGTGAACAGCAAAATCCATGATATCTTTCACGTTTCCTTGCTCAAGCCATTCACAGGAGATCCACCAGACCAGGTACCCGCTCTGCCGCCCCTCAAAGACGACAAGCTCATCCTCCAACCCCGGGCCCTCATCCGCTCCAGAATCAATCGGGGTGTCCTCGAGGTCCTTGTGGAATGGGACAACTTTCCATCAGCCGAAGCCACCTGGATGCCCTTCACTGAACTACAGGACACATATCCCGAGCTTGAGGACAAGCTCGTAGTCCCGGAGGGGTGTAATGTTGCGGATGCATTCGTTGGGAAGAAATACCGTCGTAGGCAGCAACAACAGCAGTAACGAAGTGTCCACACAGGAGTCCACGTAGGATTAGGCCACAACTTATTTCATCTTATCTTTCACAGTTATCTTATTTGTTTTTCTCATTTATCTAGTCCGATAAGGTTTAATAGGGAGTCTTATAGTAGGAGTTTGATTTATCTAGGGAGTCTTATCCTTCCCAAGATAGGGATCTTATYTGTAAGAAGTYGAATCCAATAAGGAGTATCCCTACCTCTTGTAATMTCYTATTTAAGGAGCTRGAATTAAAGAATAAAGGCATCAAATTTTCGGTCAAGAAAGGAGTAAAGGAGAGTTAGGGTGATCTCTTGGACAAATCACCATTAGGGCGCCAAGATAGGTTCCTCAAGGAAAGGGAGGAACAAGGGAAAACAGGAGGTTCTCCCTGTGGACCGACCCGTGATGTGATCCTACGCCCGGGCCCATAACACTTGACCTTAAGATTGAGTGTGTTCAGGTGAAGCCAAAATTGAGCATGGCCAAGTTGTGCCCCTACTTTCAATTACAGATTGCTGAAAATTTTCCCCATGCTAGAACTTTTCCTTTTAGCCTCAAAAAACATTATCCGTAGTTTGGAATGCTAAGGTAATATATGGTTTTCCTTCTTGTTGGTAATATGCAGTTTAGGAAGTAGTTAGCCAAATCATTAGGGCAAAGGGGTAGACTCAATCAACCAAGTTCTCAATTGAAGACAATTTGAACAACTTGAGGAATCACAGACAGTTGAGAACAGAAACCTCTACAGGTCCAAGTGCCAAATTGGAAACATTAAAAACCATAGTTTGCACCATCCTGAGGTAGAAATTGAAATTTTAATTTCTCAACCACAAAGCAGAAAACAGTTATTCCATCTAGTCCTCTACTTCCCAATGTAATAAGACCAAAATCTACAATTTTTCTTATCAATTGGGCATCAAAGATAATTACAGTACCAGTCCTGACAGAGAGACTCACTAAGATCAATAAACAACACAAAGGGTATCCTACAAGGCTAGAAACATCAAAACAATTAATAAAAGGAACAAAACTAAGAGACCAAAGCCATGAAATGAATCATAGAATTAACTGATATGATTTCTTTCTTTAGAAAATTGTTGTTTTTATTGTTACACCAGCCAAAACAACAGCGGCAACCATAAAGACAATAAATTAAGCATCAAAATCCCTAAGAACTCGAAGACCAGAAGGTAAAGAACATGTTATCTTAAGAGGCCAATTTTTCAAATATGGAAAAAATAAATAAACCAAAATTAATAAGCGGAACTAAAATGAACAAAATGCAATGAACCCGCCACCCGAATAATAATAACAATAATAGTAATAGTAATAATAATAATAATAATAATAATAATAATAATAATAATAATAATAATAAAACAATTAACCTTTCTGTTTATTTTATTGAACAGGAGGGAAAAATCATAAAACCAAGAAAGACTACAAGACATGCAATTAAAGAAAAGTAAATTCAAAATATCAATCAATAAGAATCCTGCAAACATACTTCCCTTTCGTTAAGCAGACGAAATGGAAAAAACCACAAAACCCAGATAAATCCAGCAACCCAAGAGACCCCAAGGAATTAAAAGAAAAAGAAAATAGAAAATAGAAAAGAACAACTAACGCAATCAAAACAGCCTATAAGATGAAAGCAAGTGAATGAGTGAGCGTTCAACCTGGTCTGGCGGACTATGAGAAGGATCGACCAAATGCATAGGAAGCTCAAGATGCTTGTCCTTGTGGTGGCGAAGCCTAGCACCTCCCTTGCTCATTCTGGGAAGCGGGTGGTGCTGTTGAATCTCCCAGAGGTTAGCACCAAGCTTTCTAGCAGAGACGGTGGAGGGCAGCGTGAGGGGGCCTTTGATGGTGTTATCCTGCGCATCCTCCAGTTTCCAAGCGGGTACTGGAGTACAAGGGCCCCCTCTTTTCCCTACCAAAATCCCGCGCTTCAACTTTATCCCTAAAAATTCCTGCTTTTCTGTTTCTTCCTCTCCACCTTTTGCTATTCTTTCCATCTCTCTTCAAACTTCAAACTGCTTCTCCTCTCTCACCAGTCACCACCTCTTTCTCTTCATTTCTCTTACATTCTGATCTTTATTTATTGTTCTTCGAATCTTCTCTCACTGTGACGAGAATTTTATTCTTTTTGCTTCAAAAGTTCAAACCCCCGAGGCCCCAGGCGCAACCCCTTTTCCAGTTTTTCTGTCTCCTATCCTTGGAAAAGTTAAAACGAGAAATCATTGATGATGGGATGATATGATGGCATGTGTTTAGTCTCGAGTCTCGATTCGGGTAAACGAATCTTTAATTAGCTCTTCTAATATTGAAACCGATTAACCGCTTTAACTCTGCAGATTATGGAGTCTTGGGATACCCTCTGGTCTCTGCTGGACTGTGACTCTCGCTCTACCGACGGTACGGTGTGCAATGTGGCCAAGCCAAGGTCCCTTCCCTATATATATAGAGAGAGAAAGAGACCGAGACAGAGACACTCCTGCTCCTCGTGATGTGAATAGTGAAGAGGAAAAAGCCGACGGAGCAATCAAACAGAAGCACCTCAGCACGGAAAATCTGATATGCAATTGTCAAATGATTTAAATCCAATTTGGCATTTTGGGTACTCCCTCATACCTCCATCTCCACTTCCACTCCATTCAAAACCATAAACAGTAAGCCACATATTGTGGTCCAAGGTCTAAGGATTTGTGTGTTCTCCACTCGATCACTCCCATGCCTAGTTGTTGTATGTTCCCAACGAAAAGTTTTTATGAAAAATCGTGAACGTGAACTTATGTACTGAATCTACTCTAGGGCTGAGGGCTGTGTTGCTCTTTTGTTACTACTTACTAGAATTTTTTTTTTTTTTTTTTTTATTCTCTCCATCAAGTTACAAGCTTCATGGTGCATTTAAATTAGAGGCCCATCTGAAGTTTAGCTTTAGGCCCATTAATCAGTAACTGGGTCAGGTGTATCAACAAGATACTGTGCAGCTTTTATCAATTCAAGTGTTCAACTTCATTGGATGCCCATCAAATAATGGTCCAAAAAGTACATGTATGAATATGATGTATCCAACGGTGGAGGACCAAATGGGGATTAAGGACTACATCCCTTTTCTTTCTTTAAAAGTTCTCTCTCCATATCATCCACCGTCTTTGTCTCCTTGCACCTCCTTTTCTTCTAAGAAGAATGTTTGAATGATCTGGGCCGTCCAATTTGAATGTTTGATATTAAAATCTATCATTCTCACGGATGGGATCAACCAACTGTATTACCTGATCAATATGATCAAGTCATTAACTGTTGAGTACTTCAATTGTAGAGTAGGGGGAATAGACCCACAAGCCACAAGAGACAACAAAGTGAAGGATGCTGAGAGTGGTCCAGTTGAGTCCGGTCCATGAGCTGTGACTGAAAGCACGATCATAATATATCACCCAATGAAAATCTCCTAGCATTATTTGGTTTGTTGATGGCTGACAAGGCAAATCTAAACCCCAGTGGGTGCATATCATCACTGTCCTACCCCTACCTGTAGGGTCCAATACACCCATAGCTAGCCTGAATCGAGATGATTCCAGCAACTTCATGAGCCACTACCCAGTAGCACACTACTGGTCCCAGCTCTACCCTTGGCTAGGTTGGGGTGGACTGAATATAAGGGTGGTTAAGGTTGCATTTGAGAGTGTTTAATTATATTAAGTTTTATTGGGCAAAACACTTAAAAAAAATATGAATTGGTGTTTAATAAAAAGGGAAAATTCTCGATCTTGTACTTTGAGTTTAGTGTCATTTTGGTCTCTTAACTTTAAAATGAGACAATTTAAAATCTAAATTTTTAAAATGTATCAATTTAATTAATATCTATCGTTAACCAGTTGTTAAGTGGCATTTAAAAAGACACAAATGTCTTTCAAGTGTCATCTAATTTTTTATCAACAATTCAAACATTGACAAAAAATGAATAGTTCTAAATCTTTTTCTCTTCTATTCAAAAAAGTTGGGATTAGGACTGTTCATGGGTCGGGTTGGTCGGTTTACTGATGTTTTTCCAACTGACCCGACCTGGTCGGATTACTTGAAATTGAAACCGAAATTGACCCTGTGTTAAGCAAAACCGACCTGATCGGTTTGAGTTGGTTTTAGTCAGTTTCAGCTCTACTTAGTGGTGACTTAGTTGTTGTACAACCTACTTAGTGGTGACTTAGGTTGTAACTAGGATAGAGACAACTTAGTTAAGTAGGAACTAACTAGGTTGTAACTACTAAGTAGGAACTAACTACTAAGTTGGTTCGGGTCGGGTCGGTTTCAGTTTTCGCACATGAAAACCGAAACCGAACCGAATCATCAGTTTATGATTTTTTATAACCCGAAACCGACCGATGCTGAAGAAAACCCGGCCGACTCAGGTTGGGTCGGCCCGGGTTGGTTGGTTTGGCCGGGTTGGGTCTTCTTATGAACGGCCCTAGTTGAGATCACGTCTCAATAGGCATTCTGGTGACCCCAATTTTCTTGAATATAAGAGATAAGGATTTGGGATTGTTCATTTTTTGTCAACGTTTAAATAGTTGATAAAGAAAACTAGATGACACCTGAAGCGAATTTGTGTCTTTACAAATGCCAGTTAATGATTGGTTAACAATAGGTATTAAATTGGCACATTTTGAAAGTTCAAGTACTGAATTATCGTATTTTAAAGTTCCGGAACCAAAGTGGCACTACGCCCAAAGTACATGATATATTCTACACTCCAAAATCTGAGTGGTGTAGAATATCATCTTGATTCTTGATCATGGGATGATTCCAAAATCAAGAATAGAAAAACAAATGCCAACAAAATGAGCCCATGTTGAATAGACACCACTGTTAGCACTCACCAGATTAAATAAGTGCCTCATAAAAAAAATTGCCATTTTTTTTGTCGCAAAAGTAAAGAAGTCTTTAAAGTTTAAACAGTGGAGTCGTTCATAGTTGCCACCAAAAGTTAAAACCTGGTTTCATGACTTCTTTATTTCCTATAAAAATGCATGAAATAAAAAAAAAGAAGAAAAAAACTACAGACCTAAATATGTCAATAGGCCCATTACAGTTTCTATCACAAAAGAAAAGCACTCAGTAAAAGAGGAGAAACAAAGTTTACTGCAACACCTCTCTGCAAGTGATCCTGCTCCATATAGATTATGGAGCGGAAACTCATGATGGTTAAAAAGCTAATGATTATGATTATGGTTGTAGCTCATTATGGTTAAAAAGCTAATGGCTACTCATGTTCAGTGCTGAATAAGAGACGAACTGTCAAGTACTCAAGAAAGAGGGATAGATGTTTTTCTTCTGTTATTGAGTAAATTTATCATCAATCAAGTAAATGAAACATGTGTTAGTTTTAGAAGTTCCATATTAAATTGGTTAACATTCTTCTACTCTGATTAAATTCCATATTAAATTCTATTAAGTCAGTAGGCTAGTAGCAAGCTGAAGTTGCTTTGAAAGTAGAGAGTTTGAGAGCAGAAAAATCACGCATACCTTGCACTCCCAGGGGGTGGAGCTCTTATATAATGGAGTCCTCGCGGGTTTCGCGGAGTGGTTCCGGGATCCTCGTCATGATAAGATCCACTTCCGCGTTAATGGGGGATAACTGATAGGGTTTATCGAGTCTGCCCGAATCAGTCGGGGGAGATAACGCTGGCTGTTACACGGCGTGATCCCGTGAAGTCCGGCAACCACCGAAGGGATTTTCGGGATCACCACGTAGTGGCGTGCTGGTATCCCCGGACCGATGTCTTTAAGTCCCGAACTGGGTTAGATGCCGGAGTGCCTTGGCATCGGGCTGTTCTTGTTTGCGATCTGGTACCGAGTCGATCTCGTCCCAAGGTGAGCTTGTTCCAAGGTCAATTTAGCTCGGGTGGTTGGGTACCCAAGCTCAATCTGCTGTGGACTCGTTAAGCTGAGTTGTCATCTTTTGATCAGGTCATATCAACGTGTCCCCCTGTTACGAGGTCGAGCCTAATCACCCTTCATCAATTGCCCCCCACTCCCCAAGCTAGGGGTCCAGACCTGGTGCGGGGAGTTCATGATGTGACAAGTGGATTTGGCTCGAGGTCCAGGCCGCTTTGTCGGATGAATCGTTGGTTGGACCAGTTCGGCTACTCGTTTCAACCAATGATAACCCGGGTCGCGTCTGGTTTACGTGCAGGCGTCACGCGATCTACAAACTCCGCAGACGTCAAAAAGCGCGCTAAACTGATTTTAACATCGAGGGTCGCGCAACCGGTTTTCTTAGGAGCTGTCGGATCGCTTTGATCTCGACCATTGATTCTCCAGTACAGTGGCTATAAATAGGGGAACCCGAGACTCATTTTCTTTGCCATAATTTCATTAGCCTTCGGTCTGAGGTTGCGTTCAAGCTCCTTAGCTCGGGTCTTCCAATTCATTGTTACTTCTCAATTCGGTCTTTCTCCTTGGTGAGTCTTCCCTAGCTCTCTTCTTCGATTCAGTTTGTCTTTTTCATGTCTAGTTTCAGTTTCGACAGTCTTCTAGATGAGGCCGAGGTGGGTGCCTCGGCCCAGGTCGATAGTCATACTGAAGCTACTTCGGGTTTGGAAGCGGTTCATGGCCCTCCCAAGGTGCAGACACCTCGGGAGGCGCGAGAGGCCTCTGGTAATCTGGCATCCACCTCGCACCGAGGTCGAGTGCCAGACAATTTCGGCCCATCAACAATGACAGCGGACAGGCTCCAGGCCTTAATAGCTCGGTACAATCTCCCGAGCGACCTCATTTATAGTCTTCTGCTAGGCAACTTCCCCTGGGAGCATGATCACAACGAGATCGTGATCTTTGAGGAAAAACTCGTAGCTGGTCTTCGTCTTCCGTTGCACCCCTTGATTGTAGAAGTCTTGAAGCTTTTCAACATTACTATAGACCAACTGCACCCGAACTCAATCCACAACGTAGTAGGGACCATCTCGTTTTTTCATGACTATAACCTGCCACTTGACCTCAATATCTTCTCTTCAATCCTGTCCATAAAGAAGAATGCCTCCTGTGTCCTTCCCGAGCATAGGCGGACCTATTACTTATCTCCTCATCCGGGCTACAAGCTTTTGCAAGAGCTCCCAAATAGGGTCCCGACCTGGAATAGGGGTTACTTCGTGGTCCGAAACACTGAGGGATGGCCCTTCCCAACCCATTGGAGGGTAGCCATTCAAGATCCCGGTATCAGACTGGACCTGAAAACAAGGGAAGTGCTCCAATCTTGGGCGGAGCTCGGCCTCAACTTTGCGGACTACATGGCTGAAGACAAGCTTGTGCAGGCTGGCCTGAGTCCTGGTTAGTCGTCTCTGTTTGTGTTTTTACTTTATTTCTAATAATGTTGTTGATGTTTTGTTTTCGTTGCAGCTCCCATGAAGCTCGCTACAGATCAACTCCTTGGCCGG